CGTTTTGGCGAAACTCGCGCAAGAAGACGCTACGAAGTGGTACAAATATGTTTCGGACGTCCAAAGGATCATCAACAGTACGCCAACGCGTAGTACGAGATATACACCTTTTGAAATTTTGGTCGGTACCAAAATGAAAAATAAAGAAGACCTGAGAATAAAAGAGATTTTGGAAGAAGAATTTTTAAATTGTACGATGCAAGATAGAGACAAGATTCGAGAAGATGCCAAACAAAACATCTTGAAACTACAGGAGGAAAATCGTAAATCCTACAATAAGAAAAGAAAACCAGCTCCCAAATATCAGGTCAACGACCTTGTTGCCATTCAGAGAACTCAGTATGGGACAGGACTCAAATTAAGACCTAAGTTTTTTGGACCTTACAAGGTTACCTCCACGATGCCTAGAGACAGATATGCGGTTGAGAAAATTGGTCATCACGAAGGGCCCAATGTGACTGTTACTGCAGCCGACCATATGAAGCCATGGCCCATTGATCTTGACTGATATCAAGAACTTTTCTAAAACATTTCTAACCATATTTTTTCTTGTGTTGTGTTTTATGTTTGTTTTGTACAGGTGTTTTTAGTCTTTCGGTAATCTCTCCGAGGACGGAGTGATCTACAGGATGGCCGAGCTGTGGAATGTGAAACGCGATCTGCTGACGAGAGACGAAGGGGCTGGGAGAGGGAGTCGAGGAGAGGGAGGACGACGAGAGGAGAGAGGGGACGCGACTTCAGAGGGAGAACACCGAGACGACGGTTGAAGAAGAAGACGCGCGAAAAGACGAAAGACGAGAAAGAAGTCCTACATTTGTTCTTTTTATAATACTCACAATATATTTTTATGTAATTTGTATTCCTTCAAACGTTCCTGTTATCCACATCTTTCTTGTTTCAATTAAAGTTTTTCAAAAGACAAAGAAAAGTCTCTCACACACACATATATATATATATATATATACATATATATATATTTTTTTCACAATCAGACTTTTATTAATAATTCACTCTAATATTTCCAAATCACATTCAAATATTTCACTTACTAAAACTTTTAATTTTGCATTTGTCAAAAAACTTCAGAATTTTCTAAATGAAATTAAAAACATTAGAAATACATAACAATTAAACAATACATTCTAAAATATTAAAAAGTCATAGATGTCTATAGAAAAAGTTGCATGATGATTAAAGTGCTTCACGCAACTTTTTTTTTGCTATAAACAGAACAATGTAGCAAATTTCAAACAAAAAATAATGATACGCATGCATCTCATAAATATGAAAAAGAGCTTAAGACATAAAAAAGCTACTTAGATTACCATTCTCTTAATTTCTTAAAAAGAAAAACACACATAATCTAGTATTATATCATTAAAATATAAATTATGTAATCTTTACAGCATTCAATTTATTATTATTGTTAATTATTCTCACAAAAGCAAACAAAATTGACCAAATTAATATGTAATAATGTCTCTAATATCAAAATAGCTTGTGGGCAAACCCTATTATTTATATAACCAGTAATGAGTTCCACACTAAAAATTTTATAATTGTGATCCTGCCATTCATATTATTTTAATCAGTTTATAATATTAAATTTAATACGATGAAGTCAAATCAGCATTGAAAACCAGCTTTTTCAATGCTGATTCGTTTCAATCAAACACAATTAAGCCTAAATCAGTAACTCCGAAGTATTAGGCCTAAAATCATCTCTATTCTTTTAAAGAGTTTTGTCAATTTGGATGTTAAACAAAGCAGCGATCGATGTATGTTCATAGTTTTTCTTACCTGGCAATATAAACCTCGTACGATTTTATGTTGCTTGCTGAAATACGAAACAGTTTTGTCGTCAAAATGGCGTTGCTTATGGACATCCTTAAACCAATTGGAACCAAACCTTCTCATCTCTTTCCCTACATTTCGAAACGAACGAACGATCGCCATATCCGATTCTAATCTCGTCCCCCAAACAGAAACATTAAAATACATTAAGAAATAACATGCATAAAATAATAAATTTATTATTAAAAGCCATACAATCTTAAATACGACAATTTTAATTTTTCGGTTAAGTAATTAAGATAAGTTAATAACCGAATAACAACATAATCGAACCAAATTTATCAGTTTCGTAAGTTTGTTATAAAGCATTTCATTGGAGAATGGAAGCGATTCCATCTAGATTAACCAATTATGTGAGGTTTCGTATATGAAATTTAAAATCGGTTATATGCGATTAGAATACGGGTGAGAAATTTCCGGTTCGAGATTAAAACCAGGCAGTATTCGTGAATTTAGAAAATAGTCCCCGTTTCTGTGTTTGGTGGGAACAGCGTAATAGATATTTTTCTGATATAGATTATTTTGAAAAAAGTGAAAGTAATAAAAAGAGGTAATAGAAATTTTTATTTTTATGTTGATATATTTATTAGATTATTAATATAATATACTTTAATACTACTGTGTAACAGTTACTGTAAATGATTCTGCTTTGTTCATCGTGTAGAAGCGTGGTAATGCCGTTGATATAGGCCTAAAATTTCGTACGTAACGCCAGCATTTGACTCTGGATTTTTGTCGTGTCTTTATGACGGGTTTGTTAATTGTTAACATATGAAGATAATTCCTTAATTTATTTGAAGTTTTTAAAAAAAATTAAATCTATAATAATAATGTTATAAGTATAAAATGTATGCTTTACAAGCATAAGAAATTAAAAAACAATTACCCATGACTTACAAATATAGTTGAGTTTGCTCAAGAGAGCACTGGTGGTATTGGGTTGTAGGAAACAAATATCCCTTTTGTGTGTATAAAAAAAATTTTCTCATATTACAAATTCAGAAACCAGTAAGAAAAATTAATATGTGAGTTAATATCAAACCCTTAGGTAGGAAATTAAACCCTTATTGTTTAATTTGAATTGTATTAACAAAGTAATAAAAGCACTGAAGTATATTATTGCAACTGCTAATTGTACAGGATTCCCACATTATACATTTTTTCTTAATTTTGTTTTAAGATACCTCACTGCTAGACGTGTCCTAAACTAGAAATATTTGTGAGTGATGCATCTAACAAGAGCTATAATGAAAAAATTGTAGGACTACTTAAGCTTGTTGTCATCATGGAGCGGCACATTGGATTGCGGATGCATAGAAAGCTTGTCACGTGACTACACAAACTTCACTTTCCTCAATCACACAATCTCTAGGATGTGTTTCCAGTATTGTATGATAGAGCAGTGATTGACGTCTCATTCCTAACACGTGATTATCTTTTGTTACCCTGAACGACCCAGGGTAACAAAACTGTTAGAGAAGCCAAACTGATTCTGACACAGGGCTCTATGCTTGCGTAGATGCAATGAGATCCTGTTAATCATTAGACCTTTAACAGTGTTTCTCAATGGGGGTGATATTACCCCCATGTGGGCATTTTTTTCTTGTTGAGGGGGCAATTAGTAACAATTTATATTTTGCCTCTAACAAATCGTCGCCCCCTTCAATAAAATCGTTACGTAGTATAACCCCCTTCACTTCAAAATTCCGATGCCAAGGGCCAGGGCTAACGCCAAATTCGTACTGCATTGAATAGACTAGTAACTAGTATAATGTTATTTGTTTAATTATTGTATGATATAATGAATAAAATATCTAACTAATCTTAATATAATGTTTTACTATATCATCCAGAAAATTGTTTTTTGCCCCCCAAAATATAAATTATTACAAATCGCCCCTCAACATGGAAAAATGCCCACATGAGGGCAATATTGCCTTTGTTGAGAAACACTGGTCTAAGGTGTCCTGAGTATAGGCAAGCGCCAAATCCGACAGAGGGCGCTGTTTTGAGCCAAGATGGCTGCCGAAACAGGTAAGGAACCGACCACGTGTTTGTTCAGTGCATGAGCCGATTCAGTTTCTATCGGTGACGACTACTGCGAGGACCAAATGGAGAACAAATCATTGAATTTATGTCAAATTCTAGACTATATTGGCGACAGGAAACGTTGTCTCGTAGAAGGTGAAGCCGTTTTGGATGCTGGACACATCGTATTTTGTGGATTAAACTCTAACAACAACACCGAAGTTCACGTTGTTGCTTCAGTGCTGCAATCTCAGATATTGGCATTTTAATTTTAATACATCTCAATTATAGGGAGAATGCACGTGCAAAGCGGGGCTGTCTGGTTTTTGTAAACACGTGATAGCGTGTTTATTACACGTTAACAGGTGAGAAGTATTTAAATATTTTAAGCAGTATACACCATGTTCCAATATAAAAACATAGTTTTATTTATCATAATAGTTAAAATTAGTGCCAATCTGAAGGCTGCCCTGCTGAGTCATTCAGCACTTATACAACATAGGCCAGTCAAAAGTTTGTAGCACACGTTTTGTGTGTGCACGTCTCATATATCCAAAACGGCTTCACCTTCTACAAGACAACGTTTTCTGTTGCCGATATAGTCTAAAATTTGACATAAATTCAATGATTTGTTCTCCACTTGGTCTTCGCAGTAGTCATCACCGATAGAATCTAAATCGTCTCAGGCACTGAACAAACACCTGGTCGGTTCCTTACCTGTTTCGGCAGCCATCTTGGCTCAAAAACAGCGCCATCTGTCGGATTTGGCGCTTGCCAATAGTGACTGTGGTGAGGGGTACCAGCCCAAATGTTATTGAAGATGTCGTAGAATAATTGTCAGTGCCAGTATAGTGAAAACTATGATTATTAGTATTACTAGTAGTGTTCAGTTGGGTGAAGATATACCTATGGTCACTGGCAGAATTTATGTCGGTAGTGTAACAGTGTCTTGTTTGGCAAACAAGATACTTCTGTTTTAACTTGTTCTGTCCTGTGGAGTGTAACAGTGATTGACCCTAGGGGTGACGTGACTGTTTCCTAACGTTACGTCAATCCAACTTTTCCCCTTGGTACAGGAGTAGGTCAGAAGGGTGCTGGTGTTCAAGTAAGTAAGGTTGTGTTGGGCCATGGTTCCATTAACTGTTACCCTAGGGTCATCTTCTGGACTATGCCAAGTTGCAGGCTTGGCACTGAAGTCTCCTCCTATTACAATAGGTTTATCTTTGTATGAGTTCAGAAGGTGATGAATATCTTCAATGGCTGTCTCAATGTTAGTGGTGTCTGTAATATAGACAGAACATATGTAAAGGTGAGTGTTATTAGAGGTTGTGGCCGATGTTTTCATTGCAAAAACGTGTACGTCAGACATTCAGCATCACCTTCCTGTAAGCCTAGAAGTTTGACAATGGCATTTGAAACATCAGTGGGATCATGCTTGACATTATAAACGTCATTGTCAAACTTCTAGGCTTACAGAAAGGCAATGCTGAATGTTTGGCATACACGTTTTTGCAATGAAAACAGTTTAAACCTCTCTATTGTCTGTTACACATACAATAGTAATGTATTCTGTGGTATGTTGGGAGACAAGGCAGGCGGTAATGTTTTTGTTTCTGATGATAATACCAGCCTTGGTGCAATATCCAGGATCCTGAGCTGGATAGACTTTCCAATCATTGAACCTGACTATCATGTTAATAGTGTAGAGTTCTCGGATCATGTCTGTATTGTGTATATTGGAAGTGTGAATGAGGAGGTAGCAGGCAGCTTTGCATTTCTGTGTATTAATCTGTATGAGTTATAGCTGCCTGTGTACAGGTGTATTATTCATAGCTGATCCCACCGGCAGTTTGTTTTTTCATGCATTTGGTTATAGGGCACTGTTGACAGAATGTGTTAAGTGCGGTCTTTGTCTGCTCCCTTCTGGTAGAGTGTCATTGGCCTTTGCACAATTAATGCAGCGCAGTTCCTGACTGTGGACGCAGCAAACCTTGTAGCTGTGGTTGCCTGTGCAGTGACTACAGTGTTGTTTTTCTGTACATTTATTAGCTGTGATAGATGGCCATAACCACAACATTTGTAGCAGCGTGTGTGAGGAATGTAGTCATCTACAGCTATCGTTGCCCATTGCACACTAACATGCTGCTGTTTAATTAACATGTTCCTGATACTAGGAGTTACCTGAAGGACAACGTGTAATCTAGAAGTGTCTGTCATGTTGTTGTTTATTTTAGTCAGAACATAGCAAGAGTCTTGAAATTCCTGGAATGTGTGTGTGTAGTATTTATTGCAATGTTCTGGATGTGATTCCTCTGTGAAGGCGCTGGTGACAGCGTCACCCGGGACATTTAACAGAATAACCTTAGGTGGTTTGGCTGCCAAGTATCTGATTTCTAACCCATTCATTAATGTTTTACTGAGTTTATGGCAGCCACCATTTTGTTGCTGTCACCCTTTGTATTTAACTGAATGCAAACTCTGTTTTTCCTAATTTTCCTGAGTGCTTAAACTGAGATTCCTAACTGACTAGGTTTTATGTTTGTAGTGAGTTTTTGTCTTATTTCGTCCTGATTGATATCAATGTTTTCTTTTGGAAAAACGAGAACCGCATATGTGCCAGCTCTGGAATGTGTATGTTTTTGGACTTTTCTGGATAATTTTGGTGTTTGTTGTGATAGCCCTAGCAGTAACATCAGTGTAGGTGGTGGTTGGTAAGCTAGTCAGAATAGTGTTTTTTGCAGTGTCCAATATTTTGTTGACTGCTATCAATGAGAAAGCTGACCTTCTTGGAAACCTCCTGTTAAATATGACAGACACTATCAGCTAGGAATTTCGAAACTGCTTTGCTAATTAAACTATTTAACATATCAATATTGTTGTTGGGACAATGAACCGATGCTTAGATAGTCTTGTCTGCTAGCATGAAAAGATCATTTGCAGTTTCACGAATTTTTATGTTCTGTTCTTTTTCTGAACAGCGGAGTTGTATTCTTCTGGACAGTTTTCCAAAATAATATCCAAAAGCTTCCTAAACTTTTTACGGACCAACGAGACGTCTGAACATGGGCTCCCAGTGTTTCCAGACCTAGATGGACACGCCATCTAGAAAGTCCCTTAAACTATCTTAAAACTATGGGCATGTACAGTACAAGAGGTTCTACAACAACTAAAAACTATAGTGCTGGTTTTCTGTTGAATCTGAATTTTAAAGTAATCAAATTACCTTAAAATTTAAATTAAATGCTTATAACTTTAAATTTATTACCTAAATTTACAAATGTGTGTTTTAAAATTAAAGCAATTAGTTATATAAAATGTAGTTACATAACTATAATATACATTGTAAGATTTAGGACCAATATTACATAATAGACTTTTTCTGTTTAGAAATAAAATATTTTATTTCAAACAATAGATGCAACAGATGTTAGAGTAGCATTTTTCAAATTCCCCCCCCCCTCCAATACCTCCTGGACCAATACTTTTGTGAAATTAAATTTAAATAATGATAAGACGGATCA